AGGAAAGGGGAAGAGAGCAGAGAAGAGGAGAGGAGAGGAGAGGAAGGAGAAGTAGGAGGGTCAGCCTTAGCCAGCAGGACCTGAGGTCAAGTCCCAACTCCAACACTGAGCAAACTGCTTAACTTCTCAGGCAACTCTTGGACTGTAAGTTACGTGAGGGCTAAAACTAAACTGATGCTCTCCTGGGCTAAGACTAAACAACAACAATGAAAACTGCTGCACAGCGAGAGGGAGAGAGAGAGAGTGGGGCAGGCGAAAGAACATGCAGCTTGGCATCTAATACCTGGATCGAAGCCCTTGCTTCTCAGTGGTGCTCAGTGGGCAAAACACTCTGTGTACTCTGTATCTGCCCCTGTTGTGGGAATCAAATGAGAAAATCCAAGCAGAAATGCTCTACACACAATAGAGTCCAGCACAATGCCAGGCACCGGTATTAATATTATTACCTGCTACCAGCCAAAATGATTCTTTCTTCTACTATAGACTTCAAGTAAGCATGACACCATCACCAATGCCATGGCGCACCTCAACAGCTATTGGCTGGTGGAACTTCATTATGACATGCACAGCGCTAGTCACCCTTTTCCCTGTCACTGGCATCATGTGAGACCAAGCCAAATTCTCCTACAATAAATGTGCAAGTGAAAAGAAGGGCTTGGAAGCCAGCTGGGAAACTCGGGAGGTATCCCCTCCAGGGCCTCCCACACCTTGAGGGGGAAAAACCACCTTGTGCCCTCTATCTCCTGAATTCCCTCCCCTGTGTTTCCTTTAGCCATGAACGTGCACCACACCGATTCCTTTCTTTCTGATTTTTCTTCTCTTTGCTAGGCTCCTCTTTCTCCCTTTCCCTTCCTATCGCCTCTTTCTTTCCTTTGTCTTTTCCCTTTTCAGGTATAAGACTCACATGGATCAAATAAAGTTGTTACCCTGAATTTCAGCCTTACGGGGTGTGTGGGGATGGGATGGGGTAGGCTTTGGGGCAGTCCAGTCATGTCCCCTAAGGATTGTTCCAGAACCTCAAAGTGGGCTTTGTACACACACCAGCTCTGTCCCCCACTTCTGGCATTCCACGATTAATCCTCAGAAGTTTCTTCTGTCCTTTTTTCTCAACTTCTTTCTTGTCACACCCCATTAGACTTTCTGTTTCTGTTCCTTATGACTGACTTGCAAAAACTAGTCACCTGACGACTGGCTTACCAGATGCTTGTACAGAGATGTACATACATGCATGTATATGTATAAATGTGTATGTGTATAAAATGTGCATGCACAGCCTAAACACAGTTATTAAGTGCCTCCTGTAAATTCTGAATATCTCTATGCTCATCCAAATGTTTTCAAAGTTTAGCAGTTGAAAGATATCTAATCCACTCTGCAATGTTTCCTAATAAACTCTGTTATTTATATTCAGGGAGATATTTTGCCCTCTGTGACCATGGGTAACCTCCATTGCTGTTAATACTAATTACTTGAGCACAGGAAGAGGAAGATATGCCCCCTGGTCCTGAACTGCACCAGAGAACTTGGTCCACCTGCTTAGTCAAAGGTAAATGCAATTCAAGAGAATTTAATATTTTTGATTAGTTTAAGCAAAATCTCCTTTTTCATTAAAGCCATTTTCGGTGAATGATGCAGATGAAAACACTGCTTCCTATGCTGAAATATACTTTGGGTCCTTTGAGTTATACTGTGAGAAAGTGTCAAACCATTAGCATTTTAATTAAAAACAATAGCTAGGAAGTCTCCTGCTTAGCATGAAAAGTCTGGCAAGTGCTGCGGATTTTAAACACGCACAGATCATGCCTTCTCCAGAGTATCATGCACTGTTACGATGAAAGCCAAGGGATTTCTACACTCCAGCCTACATTTTCCACTCCAGGCATTAATCTGGTCCCAGCGTGAGACAATGCTGCAGCCGAGAAGGGAGAATGAATGAACGGCTCATGTTGGGGGAGGAAAGGAAGGAAGCTCCCACTGATTCCTGTTGTTCCACCAATATGACGACTGCCTCCAAATTCCAAGTTCATAAGTTATTCACAATATAGGCGACGAAGTCATAACCACATGTAGCTACTCTTGAAAAGAAATCATCTCACCGCTGGGCAAACCTTCAATCACCTCCCAGATTCCTCTGAATATGGGAGCCCTTGGGTTGTCACATATGCACATTAGGGATCCAGGGCAATTCTCCCCCAGCACTCCATAACCCCAGGCCCCTTTCCACCCAGAGCATGGTATACATGGATACAGGGGAGTCACAGGGGAGTCATGGCTGGGAAAGTTATAGGGATAGTGACTGGATCCATAAGAGAGCAGACTGACCCACCCTTTCCAGGAGGAAAGTTGACTTGACTGGGGGAGAGGTCAATGAATGACACTTTGCTTCATACCACTGATTTCCCTTTACTGACCATCGTGCCACCTGGTGCAGAAACCATGCCCAGGAAGACCTGAATCCAGAATAATCAAGATGAAAAAGTAAACCTCAGCACCATGGAAAGATGCCCAGGGGGCACATACAGCTCTGCAGTTACCAGCGATGACATAGCAATCAAGGAGTAGCAGAAATGACATATCATGGGCAAATAAGACAAACAAAGCAAGGCAGCTCAATGTTTAACAAGAACAACGGACGGCCCTGTGAGAGGGGAAGTTCCTTGAGGGTAGGACTCTTCTCGCTTTTCTTTATATTCCCATTATCAGAACATATCAGAACAGTACTGATACATAGTAAGAGCTTAGCAAATGTTTGTTGACTGACTGCCCTCACGTTAAAAGTACCCAAAGGAAGATCTCCAGCATGCTGAGTAGATTATCTATGGCCAATTTATGAAAAGACATGGAAA